GAAAGCTTTCCTCAGTGGATGTGGGAGCTTCAGGTCACACACTCCATGAGAGATTATAATACTCCCGTTTTACAGCCAGCAATTCACAAGCCACATGGAGGTAATTCAATGTAGCATTAATTTCCTCCATTTATAAATCAACAGTCAATACATGGGCCAAGCTGTCATGATGCTGCTCTATCTGCTTAAAAAATCCCGACCAAAGCCTGCAGTGCTGAGGTGGTTCTCAGACGAGGACAGCAGGTGGGAGTTTGTTCTGCTTTGGAAAGTGCTGGAAGGTTGCTGAGAGTGGAAAAAACCCAAGAAGGCTGCTTCAGTCTGGAAGGCCAAAGAGATGGTGCTCAGATGGTTACAGCTGTGTCTGAAGGGACAGATCGCTCAGCTAGCCCAGAAAGGGGGGCATTCCGCTCTACAGGTGTTTATAAAGAAGTGGAGAAACTAAGTTTAGAGAATAGGGTTGTCTCGGTTTCCAGTTGGATGAGATTAATCCCACCTTTGCTAATCACTGGTTCAGATAATGGATGGAGTCTGTGACATCAACATTAACACAGGTATTTTACTTACTAAGTTCAAACACTGCAAAGAGAGAATTTTATCCAAGACATTCTTTTTCTACAGTTAAAGTAATAATTCAGGGTTAGTGAGGAAAATATGCCCTGTAAATTGGAGACAGAAGGTGGTCAGTGTTGAGATTATCAAAATTAGGGACATAAAGTGACTTGAACAATGTCTACAACTATCCACATGGGAAAAAAGGTGGGTTTTTTTGCAGCCAGCTTTTTACCTTCAAATAAAAATTGTTTCTAACCACTATAAACTGAAGCTGGACAAATTCAGAACAAAAGTAAGCAATGCTTACTTCTTAATGCTTAGAAGTAAGTTATGGCTGGAATAACACCAAAGGATGGTGTATTCCCTGTCACCAGATCAAGAGTGGTCATTTTCCTAAAAGGTGACGCTGTTGGTATGTGAACTGCTGTCTTGGGCAGAAATTGGTGAGGTATGGCGTGGGCTACAGTGCCTGTCACAGGCTGAGTAAGCAACAAGCTTTTGTCACTAATGAAGAAACCCAAGAAAGGCCAAAGAGAAGCATCTCTTGTCCTACTAAAGTTGAACACTGGTACTGTTCAGCATGGAGCCAAACAGAGCCCAGAGTAAAACTCAGCAACGTGTTGTAGTTTAGGCTTCACAAGACACTTCTGGAGTCAGTGGCACACAGAGGAACGAGGATTAAGAAACAGCAAATGAAGTGTGATGGAGAGGAGGCAGCGAGGACTGCTGCTGTAGCCAGCTGACAGCATATATGAATACTACACCCAAACAGGCTGAAATTTTTGTTGGGCACACTGCTGTTTGCTCTTTTAACACAGTGGGAAGAATTTTTGCCTTGACTTCCCCTGCTCTGAACTCTGTGGTGATTGGTAGTCCATGTCATTTTTATTCTGGTTGACAGATGATACAGGGCCTGAGCAGTTTGTGTAGAGTTACTCATCTTTCCTTGCTGCTCCATTGTCCGCTTTGGAAAAATTCCCATGTGAAGCTTGATAGCCCCAGAGAAAATGTGGAATGAGGAATAGGAAATGAATGGTGACTTGGGGGTGAGAAAAGTCAACCACTGATAATAATGTGGAAACTGTGGGAGACTTTCTGATGCAATACTGTCTGAAGAGCCAGAAGCAGCTTGCCAATACAGCTCGAAAAGGTAAGAGGAAGCTGTCCTTCAGAGACCTCTAGCAATGACTCTGTATCCTGCTCCAGGTGAGCTGCTGCCTATAGGCTGTGCCGCTAAGCTATGCAAAGACATGCAGAAATGCGGTTAATAAGTTAAATGGTTCAAGAGCTGAGCGTAGTGTATGGACGGCGTAGGTAGCTAAGCATCAGCAGTTGTGTTTCCTCTTAGCCAGAAACTCCCATTCCCCTGCAGTCTGGGTCTCCTTTCTGTGTTAACAGATGTGCAGAGAAAGAACTTGAAAGCACAAAGGTTGTACCACGGGGCAGGCAGGGAGCACAGGCTCTGCTGTGTGCTCAGCTGCACAGTGCAGCCATGTGACTATTTGTACCTTATTTAATCAGCAATTGAATAATTTCATCTGTCTGATACAGGCAATTGCATTTCTATATCCAATTTCTGTCAACTATAGCCTGATTATTTTAAGGGGAAAAAAAAACCTGTTCTAGCTAAAGAATTAATGGATTCCCAGACTAATGCTTGACAAAACTCCCAAGATTTAACATAGCAAGTAAGAGTGTTACATTGTGAAACTGCTCCAGACTATGTCAGTCCTAGCCCAAAGGACAAAGCTGCATTAAGGAGTGTAATTTATTTAGGGACTTTTTTCTTTACGTTGGAGGGGGAAATGAGGTAGTGGAGATGCTCGTCTGACAGGCATTGACAAGCAGAAGTTGTGCCATGAAATTCAGACTTGCTTCCTTGGACGATAACAGCAAAATTCTTTCTGTGTTCCATGGAAGCTGAATTAAGAGAAGGGTTTTAGGTCTGCCTCACAAGATACAGTGCTGAGACCTCTCTGCAGTATTAATACATAGTTTCCAGCTCAAATGTGTCTCATTTTCTGCTGAGTGGAATAAAACCGACTTCCTGAATTTGCTGTTACTTTGGATTATGTGAATAGATCTGTTGCTACAGGCAATGCATTCACCATTAGACCCATTCATTTGCCATGCTGCTTAGAAAGGACTGAACCTTCTCCATGCATTCTAAATTTAATTTTAAGTGACTTGATTAAAGCATATAAACAAACACAGCCACTTCTGTCCCTCCAAAGGAATAACTAGCAAATGTTCAGAGTATCACTGTTCCTTCTTTTTTTGCACCCTATTGAGATTTTTCCTAAAATGCAGTTTTCTAACTGAAAGGAATGGGTGATAATTTACAACAAATCATTAAATATATATTAAAAAATACATACAGAGACAAATGCAATATATTTAATTTAGAACCTTTTGTTCTGGGAAGGTTAGCTTTTTTAAAATAGATACAGTCTATCAGGCCAAACACTTGCAGACTGGTATTCGATATGGTTCTGCTACACATTCTCTCATTCAAACATTCTTTTCTTTCTGTTTTTCATTTTACATTAACAACAGCAGAAGGCCCTGAAGAATTCTAATTTACTTCTATGGCTAATGATTTCAAGATTATTTCCTGTGCCATGGACTAGTCTATGCCAGTATACAGTGCCACACTTTTAGTGATTGGTTTAGTAATCTTCATTCATTCATTTGCAATACAAATCACAACTGATCTTGAATATATGTCTGTAGATTAAATAGTGCAAAAAAAAAATACCCACTTAAAAAAAATTATTTCTACCAGACAATTTTATGTTCAAGTTAGTTTACAGTGGATAAGCAAAAAAAGTTATTAGAAATATCGCTAAGAAGACAAGGAATAGCCCATAACAACAAAATCAGTAGTCAAATATGAAGTCATTTCATACTCCTAATTAAAACTAATTAATCTTTTCAATAATGTAATGGAATGCTTTCTACTCATAAGTTGACAATACTCCAGGAAGTCTGAAACAAAATAAATTATTCTTTGCTTGTTCGCTACCTGGACAAAGATTCATATTACCTCAGGGCAAACACAGTCTATAGCCAATCTCTTAATGTAATTCAGCTTGAAAGGAAAAATCTGCCTAATGGCAAAAAAGCACAAAACAGCACATTAAAGGAGGGATTTGTGATGCACTGTATATAGGTTAAAAAAATATACTCAATATGTGTATGCATACAGTAAAATTGCCCTTAAAGTTTCTCTAACATTAACTTCGACTTTCCTCAGTATGTGCAGTAATCACTACATAGTTTTGTGCATTGGACAAAGACTGCAGACACTGAGGCTTTACTCAGATCCCTGAACTTTTGCTTCCTTAGTTGTTAATGTTGTTCAGTAATTTACTGCTATTCATCTGTCCTCAGCCAATAGGAACCAATAGGTGTAGCTGTCTCCCAAATGCAGTTTTCATAGTTTAGTGTCTTCCATCACCTATTAATGCAGAGCCAGCCTTCATGTAATTAGTTAACAAAAGCAATGGGAGAAATTTTTCAGGGTGATCACTTTACACTTTGAAGTCTTGTGGTATTGAGTTGTATTTCATTTGCTGGCTGGTTCATGCTGATCAAGAAGTTGTTGAGACTATTTGAAAAATGTGCATGTGTTGCGGTGGTTTTCAGAAAGAAAACTATGCCTGCTTTTCTGTCTGCCATCTCCAGAAGGGTGGCAATGCTGAATGCACTTTAGTTGGACATAGTATAGGTGGGTCAGATATAGGAACAAATCTTGGACAGTCCAAGACAAAGGACAAATACTGGCTCTGTTGTGCAGATCTCTCTGTGTTTGAAGGGCATGCACTGAGCTACAGAACAGCCGCCTTCTTTAAAATGCAGTAATTCTCAACAAACATGGTGCTGTTCAGAGAAAAAATAATGATCCCAAATCTTAAACTGTTGCCTAGGCTGGTGGGAAGGAGCCGGCACCGTTAGGAGTAGCCCAAGCACTGTTACAAAAGGAAGTCGGAAGGTGTGCTTATCTGTTTGAATGCACAACAAATCTTTTCTGGGTATTTTTGAGTATTGCTAATAAAACAGCGCTTACTTGCTTTAGACTGTGATTGCTTCATGTATCTATTGAAAGTAAACAACTTCCCAAAAGACAGATAGTTCGCCCTTGAAGACACTAACCATGGAAAATTTCAAATGAGAAGGAAACCTTGCTGAAACTTGTGAGAAAATATGAACTAAGGAGATTAAAGACTCTTTTGCAACTTTCATACTTAAGCTTGTTGCCATGTGAACAATCTCTTGATATTTCTTAGTACATTATAGAAAAAAGGAAATTGATACAAGGGAAAAATTTTAACTATGGACAGTTTTGGTAGCCAGAATGTTTGAAATAAATTATAATTTACATTTTAAAAATGAATATAAAATTTGATCCCTTCAGTATACTTAGTAGTCAGGTGCATGTTTAAGAGTTTTATTTAACAGTCTAAATGTATGGATTTACAACTGTTCTTATTTCTGGTAAGTAGCATGATAACACTTCAGCCAAAGTTGAATTCCAGGAAGGTGGATACACAAGTGAATACGTGTGTTATCAGAGGAGCCATTTGCAGCACAGAGTAAATACGAGTAAATAATAGCAGAGTGTGAAAGGTATTGGACAACAGATGTATAAAAATTATTATTCAGAGTTGTTTCAATTTTCATAGTCCCCAGATTCATATTCTTCCTCATCTTCATCATCAGAATGGTCATAATAGTCCCCATATTCAATGCTGTAGCTTGCACTTCTACTGCCAGCATGAAATGAGAATGCAGAAGATGAGCCTGGAAAACAAAAATGAATCCAGAGTAAATTAGTTGTAGACAGGAACAAAGAGGAAAGTATGGTTTGAGATCTGTATGGCAAGCTCAGGGTTTCTGAATCCTTCTTATCTATTAAAAGGAGAGGGTTTTTATCTCATGACTTGTCCTCATACCACTGAAGCATATGATACATGAACAAATTTCTGTATCATTCACATTTTAAGATGTTGATAATAAATTTAATTCCTGATACTAGTAAGCTATGAGTTCAGTCTTTTGCAGATCCTATGCACCTGAAAATACAACCAGAGCCAATAAAGCTTTAAAAAGCACTTGGAGAAACAAGGTCAGTGACAAATTAGACCAGTGACAAACTCCTCCTGACCAGGAGGCAAATATAAGACAATGCATCTTTATCCTGCATTTTCCAGGACACCCAGTTCTCCCCAGAGGAAGAAGGATGTTACTCTGGAGGACTGGGCCCAATGCAAAACAATGGTAAAGCTGTTTATTCTGTATTTCCAAACACTCTCATCAAGAAGCAACAAGTTTCCTTCCTAACTTTTTGAAAAGGAAACATCTAAGCAGAACTGCTATGGCTCAAAGACTCCCTCAGCATCAACAGCTGTTGTTCTGGGTGCAGAGTGCTTACTAACATCAAAGGACTTCTGTAGGGTAAGGATAGTGGAATAATATGTGTCTCAGCTGTACAGCTATAATCCATAGCTTCCTGTTTTCTGGAAGCTGCTATAATTTGCAGCAATATATTACAATATTAACCTGTTACAGGATAAAGCAAAAGAAAAGCACAAAGAAAAGTTAAAACGCAGACATCTTTAGGTAATTTCTCATATCTTTAATTTGCATTCTGACAAACCCATGCTTTGCAGCCTGCTTGTATGCATTTTTATATTCTTTACATCCAAATAGAAAAACAAATACCATCAATGACTTTCAATCTTGCAGAGGCATATGTTGCACCATACTTATTTTTGGTGTGGCAGATGTAAATGCCCTCATCTGATTTTTTGAGGCCTTGAATCTGCAGCCAGCCCGTCACACCATACTTCTGAGGCCCACCTCTTGCCTTTGAGAAAAGAAAAAAATAGTTGAAATTGAGTAGCTAGGAAACACCATGATATTTCTTAAAGTAATTGTGGATGGATTAAACATTGCTACAACCTTTGCTTGTTTACTGCCAACATGTTTTGATTCTGTTTGTTTCTGCTGCCCTATGTTTTAATTTCCTACTGCCCTGTGTCTCCGAGTTCATGCTTTCCAGTCTCTGCTCTTTAAACTTCATGGCCCTTCACAGTGTTCTATTCCTGTTCCTTCTTATGCTACTGCTTCTCAGTGCTCCTCTTGTCCCTCATCCCAGCACCACTTCTTGCTGCTGCTTCAAAGCATTGACACCTGTTCTCAAGCTCATTAATTTCTTCAGGATAAGAGTAAGCAGGGGTGTCTAGGTGAGTTGTTCAGGGCCGAGGGGCCTGACCAAACTGGCACTCAGCATCCAGGTTTTAATGGCTTGGCATGAGATACCATGAGCTTTCACACTTCATGAGAATCAGTTTCACCTGACTTGGGCTAAATCCTCTTAAAGGGGTGAGGTTTCTTTTCCAAACAAACAACACAAAACTGTTAAGAAATATTAAGAGAGATGATCGCATGCTGACTCTATTAATGAGGTAGGTTAGCAAGGTTCAGTTTAGCTCTGAAGTGACCAGCATTTCCAGAGACATATGCTGTCTCTGGAAACATTTTGAAATAACTTGGACTCTTAATACTTAAGTACTTTTGGTACTTTAATTAGCTTTTTCTGTGCTTTTTGTGTCTACCTTTTTGTTCAGGTTGTGCTCCAGGTCCATTGGATCTTACCGCTTTGGGGTTGTGCATCCAGAAAGCTAGATTTGCCACGCATTTCTCTGCATAGTCTCTGTTCATATTCTTTGTCCATTGGAGAAGGCATGTGGATGCAGGCTTCAGCCTTACTGCAGTCTGCGTGTACATCTGCCTTTGTTAGCTCATCTCCATTTAAAAGAATTAGCATTTTGGTTTATTTAATTTTAGTTCAGACTTTCAGGCTATTTCTAGATTTGCTTGAAGCCTGTACTAATGCCATTCTGCTCTTTCCCCTCAAATTAAAAAAGTGTCCTCCATAAAATGAGCAAGTTTCTTTGCTTTTCCTTTGAGTACCTCAGGGGCTGAACCCAAAAGGGCAGGTCTCCAGAAACAGCATCTTGCAAAGGAGAAGTTTAGATACCTGCCAGATTTGTGCTTCTGCATCAAGAGTAGAAAAATTATTGCCAACAGCCGTCCTTCCCAGAACACACCTTCTTTTAGCTAGTAGCCTCAATGGTTCCATTTATATATTCATTCTCTTTTTCCAGAATCATACCTACATAAGGAGAATCTTCAATCTTTTCTTTCCCTGAAGTGGGCCGGATGGTACCCTGGCTGTTACTGCTTATGCTTGGACTGCCAAAGCAATGATCCTTGCACTGACTGAAATCAGAATTCTTTATGTAGTTAGAAGGCCCCTCTTGGAAATCTATTCACTGCAACAGTATTGTATCCTGTAGGAGGGATTCACTGATTTGCTCTATTGCTCATCCCAAACTGTATGATGGGGAAAACTCAAGTTTTACCTGTACTGAGATGTGGGCGTCATCTCCTGGCAGAAACATTTTATTCCCCTTTTTTTTCCATTCAAGGTGTGGCATAGGATAGGCTGACACCTCACAGCCAAAAATTACATCGTTGCCTGTAAAATTCTGGACATCTTGAGGTGGCATAGAAATAACAGGAGCTGCAAAGAACCAACATAATGGTACTTTAGAACACAGCGAGCAAAAGACACCACAAAACCATATAACATTAATTCCTATTTTACATTATAAAACCAGTTTGTCTTTTGCCATCTCACACATTATGAAGAGCCACATGATTCCAAGCAGCTTTTAAAGCTCAGACACCTTGTGTCTCACTGGAGGGTGAACAGGCTTTTTAAAGACATTTTCAAGGCCCAATCTGTCCTTCCCCTTTCACATGATTGTGAAACTTAAGGTGAAATTAAGAGTGTAATTTGTATCTGATGAGCTGTCATTGTGAACTAGACTCAAGGCCCACCAGTCCAGCAGCCAGTATTTGGCTAGACTTTCGAGAGGAAAGTACAGGAAATTCTATAGCAGACAATCAGAGTAACTTGATTGTACATGATAGTTCTTAATTTCTATTACATTTTGCTTAGCTTAAAAGCTAAAATACTGAGATTGCTTGGAAAAATTTGTGTTCCGAGAACATCATTGCCTTGAACTTGCTAAAATCTCGTCCCCCTCTGTTACTTATGGAACTCATTGCAGCAAGTTATGGAATAACAGCATTAATATGTTTCACATTATCCTCAATTGCTGTCATCTGATGTTCTGAGACAAGTAAGAAACATGATTCAAATCCAGTTATTTTATAAAGTTTTACGTTATTTTTATTATAATTACTAGATTTCCACTTACTTGTTTCCTATTGTTCTCTTACCCTCATCCCCCTCCACTGTTTATTTACTGCCTCAGAATGGTCGTCTCCCACGTTCTCCCAAAGAAAAAGCTGGTGTTAACCGCGAGAGGGAGCCAATCCAGGGATTTGAAGACATTAAAAAAATAAACTATCACCTGATACATTCGTACACAGTTTAAATAAATATTCCTCTGTAAGCATGTAGGAACATGCCAAATGTTAGCAGGAAATGATGATACTTAACAGCAGAGAGCAAAATAACATATTTACTGTTACCATAGCTTGCCTGTTTTGGAGATTTCTGCTTTTTTTCCTGATCTATTTGTCTTCAGGAAGAAATTTTTTTTCCTTCTAAAGTCTGCTTTATTTCTATTTCCGTACCAATGTTTAAAAAATAATGCATTTTTCTGGGCCATTAGACTTGTATTTAATTATTGCTTTTATTTTTGTCCAGATCCCAGATGCTTGGAAATAGAAACTTATAGTAAATAGTTAATATAGTTTTACTTGCAATATTTGGATCAATATGTAGGTATAGCATTTATGATATGAAACTGTAACAGCCTGTTTCAGGTTTTCAAGCAAAGTTACTAATACATTTGTCAGTTTTTTAGGATTGATATCTGTGTGGAAAATATCAAATGCATACTGATTAAAATTAATTGCAAACAAATTATACAGTGAAGTATCAGTTTCCCCATTTATGAATGCCTCATTAAACAATCCTGGTACTCTTCAAAAATAAGATTTTCAGACTAGGATACTTAAACCCTTAAATGCTTGTTCTTTCGTGAGAACTGTACATTCAGAACCTGTATATTATTTCCAAAACCTTATAGTCAAACAAGTATTAACTGAATATTCTGGGTGTTAAATTTTTTTCCTATTAACTTATCACATAGGGTCTGATATTAAAACATACTTTGAAATATTAAAACTCAGTGCGACCACACTCCTTTTAGTGATACATCCACTGTAGTTGAGCTTGAAGTGTAAAAAAGAAACCAAATGTCTTTGTTGACTCACACAAGTTCTTTAAATTATTCCTGTACAGAGACAGCATGAAAGACTTCAGCACTTTTGTTCTGGTGCTAAAACACGTGCCCTACAGATACACAGACAACACTGAAGTATTGCCATGAACTTAGTCATGCTTACATGACTGTCAACAGCTGGGGCGCAGCCACGTGAGGCTGAGGGCTCTGGCTTCACCATGCCATGTAAACACATCCTTAGCCTCGAGGACCTAAAGGTCTGAATTACAAATCTACATTATAGCTGTTCACATATGAGAAATTTGTCTAGCACTGTCTACCATACACTGAGACAAATTCCACACTGGAAATACCTGTTCCTCCATTATCTGTAAGGAGAATCTGGATGGAAATATCTAGATATATCTGAGTCCCACCCAGCTGAGTACTTCTGTAGAGGTAGTTAAGGCTTTGCTGGACCAGGGCTGACCAGGACTGGCATCATGTGAGATCAAACTCGTAGGAAGAACCACAGTTTTGATTTAACAAAACCAAACCAAACTAATTTCTAAATCGGAACATGCAATAAATACTTGCCATATCTACTCAAGCTTGAAGTACCTCCAGAAATAAAGTAATACGTGTCTCACACCACCATTTGGCTGTATTTTAGGGAAGAAAAATTGAAGTAATGATAACATGTTAACAGAAATTTACAAACTTTATTTTGGGGTGTTTTGGATTTTGTGTTCAGCCAAATTCTCCCATGCACATCTGTGTGTACTTTTTTTGCATAACTGTGTCTTCAGAAACAGATCTTTACTGTTACAATAACCTGTCATTTTGATTCCTGGAGTAGGTAAATTTTTCTTGATAGCTATAGAAAGCATTCTGTTGGCTCAGTGTCTAGAGGTACAATGTGCAGTAGTTGCTCCTTTCCTTTTACAGTCCCAGTCATGAATTATCCTCGTGTCTTACATCAGACATAAACCAGAAACTAGGAAAAGTCAAAATACTACTTCATCTTTCACAATCAACATTAACCCACTATCATTCCAGACTAATTAATTAGATAATATGATTTTTTTTCCCCTTAACTCACATTAATTTTTGTTAATCTATGTCTGATTTGATGAACGTGGCAGAAAATTTTGTGGCTTATTTGTTTTTTACTCCAAAATTTACATTTAAAATAAATTATGTGGCAAAGCTAAATATAATCACAGCTAGATTGTTCTGTTACTTCATTAAATCATCAGCAAGAGAGGTTTGAATGTGAATGGGGATGGATTAAGTGTGGAGAATCTGTGTAGAACCAATGTACTTAGTAACCTTGGTAAACTATTAGATAAACTGATCAAAACTAGCTTTCAGGAAAAGAAGGGATTTTTCAGTGCTTCTTTAGGGATCTAGGCCTTTTTCTTCCCCTTTTCGTGGTGACAGATGGAAGATAAAAGAGTATAGTCTTCTGATGAAAGGAGTTTATTGTTATTTATTCATTGGTTGCTGTATACAATTAATCCGTTTGGCATCAAGAGGAAACAGCAGATGCTTTGAAGGACAAATAACAAAACAAAGTACTTTGAGCTGAGTGAGGGTTATATTTATAGCTTGGTACCAAAACCCCACAGTGTTCAATGCTTGTTTCTCATGCAAATTGGAGTCAGCAGAAAGCGAGTGTTGCAGCGAGGTTGCTGCTCTTGGAACCAGACTCCCTGTTGCCTTTTGTCATCAGTGCAGCCATGAAAAACCAGTCTAAATCACCACTTTCACCTACCCACTGTGCTGCTTCAGATGGCTGCAGTGGCAAAGGGAGGGCTTACTGGTACACGCTTCCAGGGGACTGCGGCATGGTGCCCCCATGGTAGCACCTGTGTGCCCTGCTGCTTGCTGAAAGGCCCAGGCTCCTTCCAGGGTATAAACCACAATCTACAACCCTGGCATGGTCAGCTGCTGCTCAGAGGTTGAGAAGAGGGACACTTGTACTCCCCCTCCCCAGTGAGCCCAGTGCCCTCCTCAGACTCAAGTGCTCTCTGCAGCTGGGCTCATAGGCCAGCAGGGCACTTTCCTCTGCCAGACCCAAGGAGAAGGGGCCTCGTTTTTCTTAACTAAACTCTGCACAGCACTGACATGCATATGAACTTTCCTCCAGGCTTCTGTGCAATTCAGTAAGCTGAGTGATCCTAGGAAATTTCTCTGCATTCCTGGAGAGAGGGTTCAGTCTTTCCAGGGAGCTAGGGAAGCGCTGGGGGTGATGTCTGCATGCAGAGCAGCTGAGCTCATCCCTCCTGCTTGGTGAGCAGTGTTATGTGCCTCAGGGGTGACCGCAAGGCCTGGTGGATGACAACACCAGCAATTAAAAGTGATAGTACTTCCAAATCAAAGCTTTTGGTACATGGCCAGTTCTGTTTAATTAATTAGAGCAGACCATTGCTTTAAGCTTGTATGCCTGAACAGCTACCTCTGCTGTAAGGTTAACGTCAGTTGCTATTTGAGTGGCACTTCTAACTGAAATCTTCCTGAAGGGATTATGCCACAAGAACTAGTGCTATTTTAATCCCAAATAAGAACACCTACCTGAGGGCTAACAGGCTTTGAATTGTACTGTGGTACATACTTTTCTGAATGTCTCTACTGACATTTCCCAGCATAATAGCCTAATGGCAAATAAGGGATTCTTTTTTTTTTTTTTTTTTTTTTTTTTTGCAACTGGAGAAGGAGGAAAGAAGTCTGGTATTAGCTGTTCATCACTTTTGCTTTTAAGTATTCAATATCCAGTGTTCATTCAATATAAAAGCACAGTGTATAGTCTAAATTGGAGGCAACAGATTGCTAGTAAGGAGTGGGTAAAAAGTACCTGAGTTATTCTCATATATGGACCTTTGCCAGAGATGCAGTTTTGGAATTCCAGAACTGTGACCCATTTGTGACCCAGAGATGTTTTCTGCTTAGTTCATTTGAGAAAATATTTCATTAACTTAAAAAAAAAAACCCACCACAAACCCTCTCATTCAGAAAACACAAGCCTGTTCATTTTTTCTTTTTTCATTGTAAATTCATGTGACCTAGGTGAAAGGTGGCCAGCAGTAAAGACCTGTAATAATGTGAAGAATGAGAAACAGCGTATGAGCAGGAGGCAGGATTCCGCCATACAACCTGGCTAAGAATCTTTCCACTAACAATTATTGCAGAGCATGGTTCAGACATAGTAATGTTTTTAGGGAAATTATTTCAGGTTGGTTTTGGTCTAATTTTGAATTCTCATTTCGTAGGTTACCTAGATTTTATGATGATTCTGAAATTTGATTATTTTGGACTTTTTTTGTAAAACGAACAGACTTGTTAATTATGCCCTATATTCTTCTATTGCCTCTACTTCCCTGATTACCATATATACACTCAAATATACGTACATATATAGGTGTGTGTATATATATGACTGAGATCTTGCTATAACAACTTTAATATCAGGTCAGTCTTCATATAATAATAATTATTTGTCCAGTCCTCCCAGACTATCCTATCTGTCTGTCTACTCCCAACTACACATCAAATGTTAGTAGAAAATATCTCATACTCTGCTTATTCAGAGCAGGGCTAGTCTGGAGATGTATGGCTTATTAGTCACCATGTGATTTAAATTCAGTAGTCTATATAGAGGCTTATAACATACAAGCTTAAGTACCAGCTGCTATACCACGTTTAACACAAAGTAGTTACAACAAAATAATGATAATTATAACAAAAATGCTGTATTTGTTCAATGAAATTAGACTAGTGCATCTAGTAACACATCTAAAAATAATAATCAGATCTTTTTTAAGTTTGAAAGTGCCTCTGTACATATTACCTGATTCACATGGTCCTTTGTGTTTCATGCTGATATTCCTTTTCATAGCATAAGCCTTGTTGAATTGACAGATGTTCTCATAGGTTTTCCCTTCAGGTCCACAGATGCTCTCTTGAGACTTGCACACACACTGGGGTTCAGGGACTTCCCCAAACCTTGCTTCATCAGCATCCAACCTGCACTCAAGGTTGTCCCCACACTGCCCGTAAAAATGATTGCCCTGGTCCAAGTCGCAGATCTGACCTTCCGCATTTCCACATTCAGGACAGCAGCCGCAACGGTCCAATACAGTCCCGGCTGGACAGTCTTTAGGCTCGGAGCAAAGTGCCAAATTGCATTTTCCACAACTATCTCCTTCCTTTAACAGCCTCCACCAACTTCGGTGGTATAAGGCAGGGAAATTCTGAGAAACCTGCACTAGTACTACCAGCACTGCTGTAACCATCGGGTGCTTCATCTTGAGAATGTAATGAACAAGCAGGAAAGGTCCTTGGAGTAAAGCCAGGAAGGGGGGAAAAAAAAAGAAAGAAAAGAAAAGAGCAAGCTAGCAAGAGAAAAACATCGCCATCCTTTTTTTTGTTGTAGAATATAAATTGTACCACAAACACAGGCTTTAAGAAGAAATTAGCATCAGGTTCCTGATCTGGAACTGATAATAAAAATGCATACAAACCCACTGGCTTTTCTCTAATGCTGTTTGGAATGCGAGTATTGCTTGCACAGAAACCAAACTGCCCCTTCTGACAGCCGAGTTGAAGCTCTCTGGAAAGCTGTTTGCTCAGTGTCTCCTTGAGCCAAATTTGCAAAGCGTTGCTCTACTGTAACAACATTATATTGCAGCTATTGTAGAAAGGGGAACAGGGTAAATTGTGTGAAATAGAGAAGTGAATTGCTGTGAGCTTCCCCCCCTCCCCCATTTGAAAAAGATAGTCACAAAAAGATAAACGTGGGTAGAAAATAGCCCTCAAGATACCAGTACCCTAGAGGGGAGCCAGTGCTCTAAAGACTGGAGCAAGGTTTAACACCAAATTTCATCCATTAATGATATCAGCTAGGGGGTTCTGAATTAACAATTTACTTACAGGTTGTTTACAAGCAAGGGACAATCCAAGAAACCTGGAATTGACTTCAAACTCTTGGATTTAAGATGAGAGGTACCTAGACCCATTAAAGAACCCATTGTTCTCCCTACATTTAGGTTCTTTTCAGTGTTTATGGGTGTCTGTGGTTTGCAAGCCAAAATAACGCTGTCCATGTTTGGCTCCCGGAACAAAGTGGAAAAGGTTTAGAACACAGACACACATCAGCAAGCTGCCACAGCACCTTTAGACACACCAGAAGGAGGTTTTGCTGAAGTATTAGATGCATCACTCATCTTTTCATAACACTTCTTTGTCTTAGTTTCTTAAGATGTACTTACACTGTGAGTTATAAAGGAGGATGAAAGAGGTAACTTTGATTTCTTTTCCCACTTATTCTGTGCATAAACGTCTGCCAGTTCAGGAAGGTGAGTTTGTCGGGTCATTTCTCTCCAGATGTTGGACTTGTCTTTGTACATCTCAAGATTTAGGCGTTCATCCTACCTCATGTTGGAAAACTCCTCTCCCTTGTAGTGCTGAGGAAATTTCTTGTCTATTGACCACAGGCTGCTGTTACCACTGCTCAAACCACACACAGCTCAGCAGAGATGCATCTTACTGTCTGTTGGAAGTAGAAATGAAGCATGGTGCACTTACAGACCCTGCAAGTATGGCTCAATAGCATATTTAGGCGTTCATCCTACCTCATGTTGGAAAACTCCTCTCCCTTGTAGTGCTGAGGAAATTTCTTGTCTATTGACCACAGGCTGCTGTTACCACTGCTCAAACCACACACAGCTCAGCAGAGATGCATCTTACTGTCTGTTGGAAGTAGAAATGAAGCATGGTGCACTTACAGACCCTGCAAGTGTGGCTCAATAGCATGGGTCAAGGGTCACCACTCCCTGCAAGTGTTTGTTAGCTTAAAATAACTCTATGTGCATCATGTTTTCAAGACATATGTATAAGGCTAAGACACTGTTAACAAGATGAAATAAAAGAGAAATCATGCTTGTGCCTACTTCTCCTGAAATTGTCCACAAGCAGCTTTTCTTACTCTTTATATTCATGGTGCTTAGCTGCTTACGTAAGCTCAGTGAAGGATGCGTTTTGTTGTCGCGGCCTTACATCCTCTGGTCACATCCACAAAAGCAAATCTTTTGGGGATGTGTGCTTACTTTCCATCTCAAACATCTCCATGGCTTTTCCTAAATTCAGCTTCATACCTTCTGCACCAATTGAGATTACCTCTGGCTTTGAGTGAAGTAGCAGGCGGCTTCAAAATCACTTCCTTCTCCCAAACTGCATATAGTGCAGTTTCTCTCTGGCCTACATTGGTGAGCACTTCTTAAAGCCAGCCTGGAGACACCTTACAGGGCGCTGCTTATTTCCATCTGATAGCTGGGTATTTTGTAATACACTTTTTTTGCTTTGAACACAGGATCAGACTGTAACTGAGTAAATTATGTGTGTAATTGATGCTTTTAACATTGGGGTCAGAAAAAAAGTAACAACTGAATTTAATGGGAAATTGATTTTTTGTCCCACCTTCTTATTCTGCTTAATGTGTTTTATTTCACACTTCCTCATCAAATTCTAATTGGACACTTAGTTTTGCATTATAGGGTCTACCCATCACTGTCTATTTTATTATTTGTGCCTACAGCTGTAGGGGATGAGCATCTAGAGGACAAGCATTTTCTAAGGCTCATACAAAGTAAAAAAATGTTTGTAGTGGTGAAACCATATCTGCAAAGTGGAGCCAAAGCAGGGAGGGGCTACAGGTCAACACTGCTCCTGCTAAGGCTGGACTTTGCCTGTCATCTTCCAGAAAATGTGTGATTTGAGGGCTGTAAAACAAAAATATAAAGGGAAGTACCTCCTGTGTGCTGGCATTGAGGAAACCCATCATAAATATCATAGAAATAATTTTTGGCGTTCATTTGACTAATGTAATCAGAGTTCTTGGTGGACTCAGCCTCCAAATCAAGAACTGGGTATGCGTGCAGTCTCTTTTGAACAGCGGCCACTTGGCAGGTTATCTGCAGCTGAAGGTTATTTGGCCACTGATTCCTGAGCTCACCTGGAACAAATGGGGTGGGGAGAGCTTAAAGCACTGTGCTACGACATGGAGAAATGGCCTGGTAGCTGCCTAAAATGTCTTCAGTTAGCAAGCCAGCTGTGACAAGCTGAGAAGAGAGTTGCTGCCAGTCTCCACAATGGAGGGATGTGTGGCACGGTCAGAGCAAGGGGGATAACAGGGGAGCAAGGAAACAGTGGGATGTGCAGCTGGGTTTGAAGCAGCACATCTAAAGGCATAGTCCCATCTGATTCAGTAATAAAATATACATTATTTCAGTATGTCTCTAGTCTCTGAAGCTTGCTTTGGTGGGTTTGGCAGGAAAAAAAGTTAATTTTCATCACAAACCTTGAATTGTCTTAACCCTAAATATCTCCCGGAACAAAACACAAGCAGCAGTGGATTAATGTCACTGGTGGAGCTGCAAGACAGGAACTAAAGTACAGTCTGCTTTTCAGACACCATCCCCCGAATGCTGCCTGGAGAGCTGACAATCAGTGCAGACAAGGCCTCCACATGCCCCCCAATGAGGGGAAGAGGTGAGGAGCTGTTGTGCATAAGGGGAGCCTCCTACCATCAGCTGTGAAATAACATTTTGGTGAATAATTTCTTTAGCAGGCAGGTTGAACTGCATTAGTGTCCCCTTAGTCTCAGCAAGTAGGGTAGCACTGGCCATAGAGCAATTTCCTTAGCTTTTTCTGCATATTTCCCCATAGTGTGGCCAGCACAAGGAGTACTGCCACCATCTCGTGAAGAGGCAGCACCCGAGTTGGATGACAGGCAGTGAAGGGAGATGGCAAAATGGCCCAGTGCTTCCTGTACCCTCAGACTGCATCTTCCACCAGGACATGGACAATACCTTGCAGAATAATTCCTGTAAGTAAATTGTTAAGGAAATTGTATTTCTATTCATTTCCTGCGTTCTTCTTGGGGCCTGGTGTTATGCTAAGCTGGTGACTTGTATTGCATTATTCTACTTTGCATGGTAATAGATAAGGTACATGGCTGATGCAATTTGAAATCATATTGCTAGTGATTCCTGAGGTACTGCTCTTTTAGATGTGGTTCAGGTCTTCATTCTGTTTTTATTTGCGTCAGTGTGAGTTTTACTTACATAAAGGCTTCTGTATCTGGTTCCTGCTGCACTCGCAGATCTGGTTCTTGCACAGACATCCACAGGAACCCTGTGAGGAATAACAGCAAAACACAAAAAATTATGAAGGACTTCTCTGTCCTGCAATGGTTCCTCGCCTTGAACAGGGAAAGTTTGGAAACTATAGTGCTCCGTCTCTTAGGTTATATTAAGTGCCTGTTCTTACTCTTTAGAGAGAGTAAATCTTGTCTGAACCAATGTGTTTCCATCCAAGAACCTTTATACTTGTATTGTGTGCACAAAAGCAGCATTAAAGAAAATTAATGTTTAGTCTGTTATACTGAGTAATAGCAGACTACAGGTGGCTGTGCCTGTATGGTATATGCATTTTCTCATACTGTACCAATCTCCTAGGATGATTTTTTTCCCCCCATAGTATCCAGAATAGAGCTTCAATTGAGAAGTTGAGCTCATCTGAAAACAGTATTTGGTTTTGTAGAAATAAGTGGCAAATGATGGAGATTAGTAACAGATAAGGCAAAAATGGTTGGATGGCATTTACGGGTTCTTAACAGAACTGCTGACTGGCAGTGACACAGGCACAGGCAGTCCTGGGATCTCCAAACATTGCCTTTTTTGATGCCAGTCCTATTTACTGACACATTGCATTCATGAATCTCATCATTAGTGCTATAAGCACATGAAGTATAAATTAATTCTACTGTAACATGATTATTAAATCCATTAATCAAAGGCAGGAGATCCGTAATTAACTTATTCTCCAGCATCAAGTAAATGATTCTACTGTGAGCTTTAAGAAAGCAATTGTTCACTAATATGCAAAATACAGTGGGGCTATTAGACTATAAGTCTCTGTAATTGTATAATTAAATTATAAATTTTGCATATTTTAATAATATTTTAATTATTTTCTTTGTAAAGTTAAAATGGAGGATCATTATTTTTGCCTTTTTTTTTTTTTTTGAGGATTTACATGTAATTTACCAAAAAAGAAAAAAAAATATTCACGTCTATTATTTCCTGACTGAAAGTGGACTGTTTTCATGAAAGGGTTTGGCTAGGCTTTTGGTGACTCAACTTGGGCCTGTCTCCAGCAGTGGCTGACTATAGGTTGCTTCTGTTTCACATGTTAGCATCAGCAATGTTGGTGACTGTAGGCATTCAAATTTTAACTTGCAAAGACAAAAGAAGGGCCTGCTAGCACTGTTCTGGTACCAAATGCTTGGGTTTGATTTAATATAGGCTTACTGATTACTTTTCACACAAGCAAGTCTGAAAATCCCTTTTCACAAGTCAGTATTTTCTTCCAAAGGGCCAGATATTTCAGAGGGTCTTTTCAAGTCTGCTTCAATTCTTTGCTATCCTTTAGTAGACCAAATTTCTGAAGGCTTTATAGTTTTACCCAGAAACACCTGAGCCTCCTGTCTCATAACTGGAATGGGATACTGGAAACATTTAGGGAGTCAGCAGTAGGTAATTAAGCATTTCTCTGAAGCCATTCTTTTGAGAAGTGAGAGTTGTAG